CCACTGGACAGAGCGCGTCGGGCAGTTTGAGTAAAAAATATATAAAAATAGGCCCACGCCAAGCCAACACATGTCTGTCACAATCATTGAGTGTCGTTTCTGGTCATCCAGAGGTTCCTATTCTTAAAAAATTTCATTAGGGAGGGGGAACACCCTCTCAAACCATTCCCCCAGCTCGGGCCTAACAGCCCAAGTCCCCTGGTCGGACAGCTCAAATCCCCACCCCCTAGAAAATATATCCTAGAGCCGCCACTGCCTATACTGTAGGCCTACTCCATATAATTTTAAAGTGATGAAGGAGGGGGTGATAAACTAATAATTGTTTTTATGGGACCTAATCAGAGTAAATTTTACACTGTTTACGAACAATTGGGGTTGCTACTCTATGAATTTTATGTGAAAAGTAAAATAATTAATTATAGTTGTTTATGTTTCCTCCAGAATCAAATCTCAAAGAGCGTAAAAAAAAAAGGTAAGTACTGTAAATTGATAAAATAAATATTGTATTGTACGCCTACCCTTTCATTTTGTTGCACCAAATTTCAGGATTTATGTAGCATGTTGAAATTCTAATTCTGTTATTTTTTTAAACCTTTGTTAAAATCATATATAATATTTAAGACACCCCAACCTCCCATTTTACAGAGCGTGTCCACTGCCTATATAGGCCTACTCCATATAATTTAAGACCATGCTGTACATAAACTGTGTCTAGCCGTAGGGATATTATTACAATTATAGTCCATTAATTTTCACATTGTCTTAACTACCAAGGCCTATTTAACAGATTTCGGTCTACTCCACAGTGCTCATCCACGCATAGGCACTGTAGCTTACTCGATACGATATTACTGAACTGTTTCGCGAGGTGGAGATCTGGTATGCATATTTATGACTATCAGTTCACCTAACTGACCTCAAATAGCGCCCTCTGTAATTTCTTGCTTTAAGTGTATGGGGGAAATAATGCTTGCCTGCCTTAACCGCTCGGCCATAAACCACTAAATATTTAATTTTGTTCAATATCTATTAACAAATATTGTTTCTCAACGGGTATGCATTTAAGTTGGATATATATTTCTTTCTAATGTTTTTATTAAACAAACGGGCCAATTACAGCCTCGTGGCGTCGGATGACCAGAGGGTAAGGCTTGGTGTAATTATCCTGATGTTTGTTTGACTTTATTTTGTATGTACATAATGTGTATACATTTAGGCCTACATAGTATATGCCTATAAGGTCCCATAAAAGAAAATCATTAGTTTATCACACTATCAAAGAATAAAAACTGATGGGGGAAGGAAGTTTTTTTTTGTTTTTTTTTCGCTCACCCCGCCCCCATTTTACCGATGTTCACACTCAATGGTTAGGGACAAATATATAAAAAGTCATAAGAAAGGAATCAAATTTATCTTTAAACAATATGTTTTTGTTGTACCAGTAAACATATCTGCAAGAAATCCTGAGCTTTTCAAGATGGAAAAACGACCATTGGAAATAAAAATATATGTTGATTAAGAAAAAAAAAAATCAGAATTTCCCCAAAAGTGATGAGGGAGGGGTGATAAACTAATAATTGTTTTTTATGGGACCCAATCAGAGTAAATTTTACACTGTTTACGAACAATTGGGGTTGCTACTCTATGAATTTTATGTGAAGATTAAAATAATTAATTATAGTTGTTTATGTTTCCTCCAGAATCAAATCTCAAAGAGTGTGAAATAGATGGTAAGTACTGTAAATTGATAAAATAAATATAGTATTGTAGCCCACCTTTCATTTTGTTGCACCAAATTTCAGGATTTATGTAGTATGTTGAAATTCTAATTGTTATTTTTTTTTAAACCTTTGTTAAAAACATACATAATATTTTAGACATTATTGTGTTTGATTTTTTTTCGATGATTACAAAATTATAAATCAAAGAAAACTTGAAATTTCTTCATTCTGTTTTGAAAACTGAATTATGAATAATAAATAATAATATAATAGTCTCGTTGTGTACCTTTAATAATTATAAATAATAATAATAATAATAATAATAATAATAATAATAATAATAATAAATAATAATATTAATAACAATAATACAGGAATAATAATAATACTAATAATAATATTAATAATAATAATAATACTACTACTACTAACAATAATATAGTATTCGTATAATATATTAATAATTATATACGGTATTATTTTACAACACTTTCACTACAGCTACTGAGGTCATCTGGAGAGCAGATTATATCAACATAACTTTGTATGGATCGTTAGCTGTTGTTGAATTTGCCATTGCACCTCCTGCATGCGGATTTGAGGAATATCGTATATCTTTCCATTATTGTCCTTGTCCTGATAAATATCCTCAATATAATAAAAAAGTAAGTCATTGTTCATATTTTAATCACTTTATCTAGGCCTATCTATATTTTTGATATAGCTCAAAGAATTTCATCTGGTTACATACTATAGTATCTGTTTTTGTGTAGTATAGAATTTTCTGTTTTTGTAAACCAATTAGTTCCAGTGTTGAAAATGTTGAAAATTTAGGAGTTTCAAAGGCCTATTTAATCGATTTAGAGTCTACTAATAGGCCTATGTAGAAAATACCT